TTGCTTATTCATGTGTTCTTGCCAAGATATGCCACCATTTTCCATTGTTGTCTACAAAATTGTATGCTAAGTTACCATTTTCCCTGAATCTGTTTTTTGTCTTTGATATTTTGTGTTAATAACTGACTAATACACTAGTTAACAGATAAAGGGAAAATTTACACTGTTAATTATGGTCATTATATAGCATAACAAATGTACTGAATTGCAACAAATTATATACATTAAAATGGTGCACTAAATGGTTCATAAACCATATATCAGCAGTAAAGGGATGGCTTTTTTTTAAGCTTCAGGCAAAAAGAAGTTTCAGAAAAGATATTCCCTTTGGCACATAACACTAAAAGTACAGGAAAAAAAGAATATTGAAAACTGCAAGGACAAAAACACCAAGTAACATATAAAGGTAGATCTGTTAGAATAACAACTGACTTCTCAATGGAAACACTACATGCTGGGACTGCCAGGGTCTGGACAGATGTCTTGAAGATTCTAAGAGATCACAGATGCCAGGCCAGACTACTATACCCACCAAAATTTTCAATCACAATAGATGGAGAAAATAAAACATTCTATAATAAAACAAAATTTAACCAGTACCTTTCCTCAAACACAGCCCTACAGAAGTTGCTAGAGAGAAAACTCTAACCTAAAGAGGTTTTTATGACACCCAGGAAAACATAAAAGTTAAATAATCTAAGACCAGCCAATCAAAAGAGCAGAAACACACACACACGCATGCACACACACGCATACACCTGACAGCAACAAGACAACAGGAGTTAAGAATCGTTGGTCATTGATATCTCTCAATATCAATGTTTTCAATCCCCCCCCCAAAAAAAAACACACACACACTACACAGTGGATCTTGAACTTGTGTGAGTAACCAACTAATATCTGATATAATGAGTACATTCCACAAGATGGAAACTATACCTGATACTGCTTGGCTGGTCAAGAACCTGCAACTTGGTAGCCCATAGACCTATGACAAAACCAAATACTACTTTTCAAAAACAAGCGATAAGTAAGTAAATAAAAAAAATAAAAAAGAATGTAGCAATACAACAACTCTTTATGACATTCTGCTACACTCCTTTATCATTGCGTTGCTCAGCCATCATCAGAGAAGCTTCCTCCTGCCACAGATGGGAACAAATACTGAGACATATAGTCAGAAAATATGCGGAGAGTGAGAGACCTTGGAACATTCAGGTGTGAATGAGACGTCTCTATCAAATTCTTCCCCCAGGGCTCAGGGAACCCTGTTGAAGGGAAGGTCGAAAGAGTATCCATTGCATATGTATTATGGCTTTAAGTTTAGTGATTTTTATGGGATTACTTAGTAGGCAAAGGAGTGGATCTCTGTTTCTTCTGCCTTCTCTTGGGCTCATTTCCTTCTGTTTTATCCAATTTTAATATTGGTTTTATTTTATTATATTATTAGATATAAATCCAATTATGTAACATATGTATATATGTAATACTTATTACATATGTATATATATACTTATTACACATATACATATTACATATACATATATGTGTTATATATGTAATGTAGTATGTTATAAATCCACACACAAATAAATACTTACATATGATTAATAGAACCTAAATAGTATTATGCTATATAAAGCTGTATATGCTGTATAAAGCATGTAAGTTATTATGTAGTTTATAAACTATCTATTATAATATAGTATAATATTTATATATGAACTCTTGCCCTTGGAATCACATTCAAATTATATCTAACATGTTTGCTAAAGAATTTTGCCTCTTTAATTATCTTTGTCCACTTTTCCACATTCTGTCATTATGCTTTTATGATATGAGAGAAAATATCTTAAGCAATTTACATGATTTGCCTGTAAAGCTTTCCATGAAATTAGTCATTAAAACAGTGTTCTGTCTAAAAGAATAGAAGCTTCAGAATATCCTACCAGATTCAGGTTCTTTGACCTTAGGCAGCAGAGAGCAATCTAAAACCTGACTGCTATTAGCCTTAATAGGTTAGGAGAAGTGTGAACAGATGATTGGAAAACTGAGGGTGTTGTTCTTTTTTAAAAAAATGCTGCAAGATCCCCGCGGCAGTAGGCAGCAGAAATGCTGTAGGTCCCAAATGGTGGTGGCGGGCCATGTGGTGGCAGGCAGCAGGCCCTGGGAGCAGACGGCTGCTGGTCCCTGAGCAGTGGCTGGTCCCAGGCAGGGAGACACATGGCAGGCAGGCAGAAGACAGAAACATGGATAAACACGACATGCAGGGTGAGGTTGAATGTTTATTCAGGGGGTTATGGAGGAGGAAGGGTGAAGGGGGGACAGAGAGAGAGGGAGAGAGAAACAGAGCGAGAGCGAGAGCGAGAGCGAGAGCGAGAGCGAGAGCGAGAGCGAGAGAGAGAGAGAGAGAGAGAGAGAGAGAGAGAGAGAGAGAAGAGGAGAAAGAAACAGAGAAGGGGGGAAGCAGAGAAGTGGGGAGAGAGAGGCAGAAGCAAAGCTGCCTCTCCAAGAGGAAGAACTCAGGCCCGAAGCTGAAGATCAGCCTGCCTCAGCAGATGGGGGAGGGAGTGGGCGTGGCTTGTCTCTTAAAGGGACCAATACCATAACAGAGGGTATATATTAGTAACAAAGGACCTGTTTAGTATATGAAGTTCTAAATTAAATCCCAAGTTTTCGAAGGAACAACAAAGAAAATAAAATCCCAAATAAAGACTGGCTTATTGCATAGTTTATAGTTCAACATATTCCTGTGGTTCTAGCAATGTTTTAGACCTCAGGATCTGGGACTTCACAGTTGATTTGCAAGCAAGAAGAGAAAACAGCAGAACAATAGCCCCTAGCTATTTCCCCTGGCAGTTGTGCTTAAGACCAGCAATGCTCTAGAAGGCTGTAGAATGTGTTCCCTGCTTTTGAAACAAAGTAAGCAGCTTCCACCTCCCCATTTGATTGGCTATCTCAGTATGTGAAGGTCATGACTGGGGGAGGGGATACGTAGCTCTTCTGTGAATCCAGGACAACCAACTTTTAATCTTGCTGAAGAGATCTGGGTTCTCACTACTAAGGAAAAAAATGGTTTTCTTGATAAGACCATGGGTCACATTAGGAGCTATTCATTTTGGGGAGGTAAGCTTAAGACCCACCAAATAAGACTGTGAGATTTTTGTACTTTTTGAAGACACATTTTGCTACTGAATATTGGACAGGCACAAGGCCACCCCTGAGAAGAAGTTTGTCTTGGTAAGTGGGAAAAACGGAGGTTTTGTGGGTGAAGCTTTGTTGGTAAGTCTTGAAGTATTTTTTAATTACTTGTTCAATTGTACCTGTTGTTGTTATTACCTTATTATCTGAATTCTCATTTGTCCCTGAAAACAGAGTTATCTAATTTTATATAACACTGTGTCTAACTTCCCCAGAAATATTGCTTGATACTTTTCCCCTTTAATTATCTTACCACCTATATGTTAAAGTATTCATTAACTCAGGGTTTGAGAGTGAAAACTAGTACTTTCCAAATTTTAAAGTTTTCCAATAAATATAGATGTTTTTAGTTTTGTGCTCTGGGTGACAGAGCATTTATCAATGGAGGCAGAACACGCGGGTTGGATAGAAGCAGAAGGGAGGATTCTAAGTTTCATTTCTGTGCTATACAGAGAAACCTTGTCTAAGGAAAAATAAACCAACCAAAAAAAAAAAAAAGAACAAACCAAACCAAATAGGGCATAGTGCTATTATGGGTAGGTTTAGGACTGTAATTCATACATTAAGACATGGAGTTGGTAGGGCATTAGAATTACAAGTTCAATTCTAGCCTGTACTAAAGAGAAAGCTTTTCTTGTTTTAAAAATAAAACCAAGCAGTGCTACATAGTTTGGTTGTGTATGTCCATGAATAATCCCATCACTCTGAGGGGGAGGAGAGATATATCTGGGACTTGCAAGTTTAAGCACGGCCTGGGATCTATAGATTGAGTTTCCTTTAAAAGAATAGCATAGTGGTTTAATGGGTACTGCGTTGTCACAGGACTGGGACACGATCACGGGAAATTGGAAAGAAGCAGCATGAAACAAAAACATCGCGAGACTTGATAGAGAAAACTCATCTCACAGGAAAAAAAAAAAAAAAAAAACCCGGGGTTGAGATGGCGGACAGCGTAGTGACGCAAGAGCATTAGCACATCACTGATTGGTGGGGACCCAAGACAAGAAAGTACAAATATCGCGAGACTTAGTATCGTTCCCGTGCTATATAGGGAAAGGCTTTCTCGCCAGCCAGAAAAGCCTCCAGGAGCCACAGTGAGGCGATTGGCGTCCGTTTGGGGTGTTGGAACATTTCTGTGAGTCCAGCCCTGTGAATTGGAGGCCTGAGAAGACAGGAATTGTGAGTTTGAGTTTTTCTTGAGTTATATAGAGAGACCTTGTCTCGAAAATAATTATTTAAAAGCAAAAGTGGACGTAGTGACATTGTCGGAATCTGCCTGTTTGGGGGCAGGGCTGTGAAGGCCGCGCTGAGGTATAGATATCTGCAGAGGAGCTGAGACTCACGAGGTTCACTTTGGCCTATCGGGACAATATAAAGAAACATCCATCCTTCCTGTGTTCTTTCTTTCTAGAAGAAGAAACGAAACCTGGCAGAGCCTGAGAAAGTGGCATAGCTGGCAAGAGCACAATCCATGTTACAATCTTGTAACTCCAATGTTGGGAACTGAAGATAAGAGGACATGAGGTTTCCCAGCCTGAGTGTCTTCCAAAAGGACAGTGGGGGAGAGGGAAAGGAAGAAAGAAAAGTGGGAGAGAGAGGGGGAAACGGGAAGAGGGGAGGGGAGAAAGGCAAGAAGTCATGGTAGAAAAGGAGAAAAAGAGAGGGAGAGGAGAGAGAAGGCAGGGCAGAGTGTGAGAAAAGAAGAGGGGGCAGGGAGAGAAGGCAGGGGACAGTGGGAGAAAAGGAGAAGGTGGGGAGACAAGGCAGGGGTCACATGTCAAAAAAAAAAAAAAAAAAAAAACAACTAATAACCTGGTAAGTAGGCTAAGTGGGCAGCAGGGAGCTTTAGGAATGTTAATTGTGGACTCATTGATGGAGGATGAGGAAGAAATTGAGCTCTGGTGAGATGGTGGCAGTTTTCTGAGATTTTCTCAAAAAGCGTGGAGTATAGAGTTTCATCAGGAAACAGAAGTGGTTGTCTGCCGGTAAATGGCTTGGCTGTGGAATGACTTTTACTCAGAAAAAAAAAAATGAGGAAGGAAGAGATGAAGGAGAATGGAGGGAGGAGACTGGGTGGTGAACATGGTGGCATATGGATTCATGCTGTATTCCCTGCCCTTTATAGGAGGTGCTGGAAGGATGTCGTGATCCAGGCAGGCCTGGCTTACAGAAGAAGATGCAGTGTCAATGAAAAAAAAAAAAAAACTTGTGTGTTTTATTATTATTATGGAATATTACCTTCAGTAAAATGTGTCATCATGAAATGAAAAGTTATAAAGAAAAAAAAACAAGTTGTTCAATATTTAGAAAGATTTTAACACTGCTGATTAAAATCCAGAATAAGTCAAAGCATTACATTTCACAATTCACAAATGTTGCAAAACTCATTGGAAATGTTTTATTTTTTTCATTTGCCAGATTTCTCACCTTTTGAGAGAGGACCAAATATAATTTCTGACACCGTACATGGTAGGTATATCTATTCCTGTTAAATATACTATCAACCAATTTTGGATGGATTGCAATTACTAATTTTTTCCTTACAAAAAGAACACACTTTGATTTTATTAACCATTTCTCAATTATTTTGTGACCAGAGAAGCTTTGTATAAAAATATTTCCCTTTTGAACATTTTATTTTTATAATTTAAATATATAATCTTGGTAACTTTGCAGTGGAAGAGATCGAAAAGAAACCCTGTTCTTTGTGGTAGTTAAGAGTTTAATATATTCATAATTTTATACTTCTGATTCTGTTGCTAGTTATTCTTATACATATGATTTGTCCTCCAGTGAGACAGGAGTGGTAAAGTCCTAATTTTATGAGTTTTCATTTTGTCTCCTTATACCCTCCAGAGATTTTATCTCAGAGAAGTTATTATTTGGTAATAAACATTGTGCTTTTTTTTACATGTGTGCAGGTACAGGTTCACTTAGTGTATGTACACATAGACTAGAAGTCAACTTCAGGAGCTGTTCACTTTTTTTGTGCCTTACTTTGGGACCTTGGGCTTCACTGAGTAAGCTAGACTGTCTGACGTTCACAGGGATTCTCCTGTCTCTGCCTCCCCTGGGTTGGGATAATTTGTTTTTACCACCATCCCCTGGGTAATTAGTGTGGATTTGGGGGATTAAATGTCACATACGGTACTGTCTACGCAATATGACAATGAAATTTCCTGGATGTTAAAGAATCATTCTGCATTTGGGAATTCAACACTAAAATTGTGATTTTGTTTGTGTGTGCTGGTGCATGGATTTCTCTATGCTGATCTGAGGATATTATGCTGTCTGTGTTCTGTTTCTATTTTTTAAAATTTCCACTCTCCTTAATTTTGTTTGCTTTGTACAACTTTCTCCCTTCTTTTGTACTTGTAAATTTTGGGGGCTACAGAGAATAAAATTACTATTTGTATATTTTTAGCTCTCTGTAAAATTTGAAAGCATTTTACATAAGCAGATCAGTCCATTTCCTTTAATTTATATGAAGTCTGTGCTTTCAATGCTATATTAGTCTTGTTATGCTTGCCATATATATCTTTAAGTTTTTTAGTCTCTATTCTTTATGCATAGACACATACATGCACACACAGATATATTAGAAAAGTTTTTTTTTCAATTTTAGCACTTATCTTTGTATTTGTGCCATTGTAAGTCATATTTTCATAAATATTAGTTCACACATTGTTTCAACAATGTATGTGGCAAAAAAAAAACAAATTAGGGAAGTGAAGATTTAGAAAATATTCATAAAATGTAGTCCTGCCTGGCAGGGAAAGTATGGCAGCAAGAACATGCACAGCATGCATAATTATATTGCATCTGCAATCAGGAAGCAGAGAGAAGAAAGTGATGATATTGTTCAGCTGACATTCTATCCTCTTATTTGCTTTTATTGTTTTTTTTTTTTTTTTTTTTTAGTTTTGGTGTCTGTGAGCATGTGGTACATGTGTGTATGGGGTTCACTTAGTGTTTGGGTGCATGAACCCATGTACACACATGCCGAAACTAGTAGAAGTACCTTCCTTCATCATTCTCAGCAAGCTCCTAGTGTCTGCCCATCTCTGTCCTCCAGCACAGAAATTACAGGCATGTACAGTCATTTCTAATATTTTATGTGGGTAGTGTGGATTTGAACTCATATCCTTATGCTAGAACACCAAATGCATTTACCAACTGAACCATCTGCTCAGCACCATGCTTTCTACTTTTTAAATTCATATTGGGACCCCAAGCCCTTGGAATAATGCAATGTATGTTCAGGATAGATCTTCTCTCCTCAGTTTCTCTGGCAATGCCTTCACAGGCATGCCTAGTGGTGTAAATCCTAGGTGATTCCAAATACAGTGAAACTGACAATGAAGATAAATGATCACATCTCTTTTACCTATTTGTGCCATTATTTATGATTTTTTTAAGAAATGTTAAATTATGTGTATATGTATGCATCTTTGTATAGGTATGCACCCTTATATGCAGGTTTTTTCAGAATCCAGAAGACAGAATCAGATATCCTGGAAATGGAAGTACAGGCTATACTGAGTGACCTGACATGGGACCCAAATTGATCCACTTCAAAGGCAGTATATACTTTTAACCACTCACTCATCTCTCCAGATTCAATTTTCAGGTATTATTTTTATTATTTAACTTTTACCTATTATTTTCTTCTCACTCAGTGGTTGTCTCCCTATTACCGTCTCAATTGCATCAACCTCTTCATCTCTTCCTCCCTTACTTTCTGTCCTTTTTCCTCCCACTCTCCTCTCCCTAACCCTGTAGGCACCCTCTCCTGTCTCCTTCCCCTTCCTTTTATGTCTCCTTACCCCTTTCCTCACTTATTCTCCCTCCTTTTCCCTTTCCTTTAATATTAACTCCCACCCTTCCCTATACCTCATATTTCTTTCTTTTGTCCCCCTTCTCTCCCTCTGACCCTCCCCTCTATCATATATTCCTACTATTGCTCTTTTCCTCAGTTTCACTAGTTTCATTCCTTTGTCTCCCTCTTCTTTCCTTTTTTACCTGTCTGGTCCTCTCCTTTCTCTCGCTGTCTCGTTCTTCCCTTACCCTCTCCCCTCTTCTTTTCTCCCACCCTTTCCTTCTCTTCTCCCTGTCCTCTTCCACTCCACTTCCCTCAAGCTCTCTCCCTCATCTTCTTTTTCTGCCTCTTTTCTACTCCCTCATCTTCTGTACCTTTTCCTTCTTTGTTCTTTTTCCTCTTCTTTTTTCCGCCTTCTCTGTTCCCTTCTTCTTCTCCCTCTCATCTTCTGCTCAACCTCCCTTCCCTCTCCCTGTACTTCTCTTCCTATCTCTTCCCTTTCCTTCTCTTTTCCCTTCGCTCCCTCACTGTCCTGTCTCCTGTCCTCTATGCCTCCCTCCACTTCCCTACTATCTCTCTGCTCTTAATTTCTCCTCCCTTTCCTTCTCCCTATGTCTTCTTCCATTCTTCCTCTCTTTTCTCTCCATTTCTTTTTTCCTCTCTATCCGCTTCTTTTCCCTCTTCTCTCTTGTGTTTTCATCTTGTTTCCTCCTTCACTCTGTTCCCTCCTCTTTTACTTTCCCTTCTCCTTTCTCTTTCCCTACCTCTCCATCCCTTCCCATCCTGTTTCCTCCCCTACTTCGCTCCTGCCCCTCCCTATCCTTCCATTCTTTCTTCTTTCTCTCTCGATTCTTTTCATACTTCCCTTTTCCTTCACCTTTTCCTATGCATTTAAGGGGAATCTTATGCTATCATTATTTTAGTATGCCTTCTCTAGCTATTTTGGTTAGATTGGCTAAGGGTTTTGTCATGCTTCTTTGGTTCTTTTGCTATTCTTGATTCAGGTTTGATTTTATTAGAGTTGACTCAGTATTCTCTGGTCCTCTAGGGGTTAAGATTCAGAACTTATGTTGATGAGTTCTGATCTTTGTCATTTTTTTCTATCTTATGATATTGAACTTTTATTTGTTTTCAACATTTATGTGTGCACTCATTCATATAGCATAATACACTCAGGTATACACAAGCTATAATTCACATGCGGATGGTGGGTGAGGATATCTTACTGAGGTTCATTCCCCTTTTTCTACCATGTTTCCCAGGAATGGATTTAAGACTTGTTGGCAAACACCTTTATCTGCTGAGACGTTCACCAGTCCCAACTTTTAAAATGTAAATAGTTACAGCAATAGACTTTCTTCTTGAAACAACTTTGATTATATTTACCAATGTTCTGTTATATTATGTTCTCATAAATTTTAAGCATGGATCTGGGTGGTGGCGGCACATGTCTCTAATCCCAGCACTCAGGAGACAGAGGCAGGCAGATCTCTGTGAGTTTGAGGCCAGACTGATCTACAAGAGCTAGTTCCAGGACAGGCTCCAAAGCTACAGAGAAACTCTGTCTAAACAAACAAAGAAGACAAAAATTCAAGTATGGTAGGTCTCATTTCTACCACTATTTGTGTCTAAGAATTTTTGAACCCACTCCTAATTTCTTTAGTGATTCACTGATTGTTTAAATTGTTTTACTTTTCTAATCTCTGTTTGTACAGTTTTTGTAGTTTATTTCTGTTTTGTCTTATACTTTTTAATAATGTGATCTGATAAAATAGAAGTTATTTCAGTTATTTTGTATTTGGTAAGACTTGCTTTATATAAAATGTGACTGAAAAAAATTTCTTAGCCTGCTGAGAAGCATGTGTTCTGCTGTTGTTCAGTCCATTTATTTATACATAGTTCCTTTCTTTGTTTTCCTTTTGTGATGACCTGTATATTGGTAATAATCATGTATTGCACTCACTCAAAAGAATGTTGGAATCAGTTATCTTATGCTCAGACTGTGTTTTATAAAATTGGCTACACCAGTATCACGTTTGTGCCCTTTTGTTGGATTGCTCACTTTATCAATACCTAGTTACCTTCTTTGTCTCTTTAAAATGTCCTTTGTGGAATATCAGTATGGTTATTCTTTCTTTTTTGCACGTGTAATTTTCAGCCTGTTTCTTTGACACTGAAGTGCATTTGTTATAGGTAACAAATAGCTTGATCCCCTTTGTGCAATTTAATATGTCAATCCATGTCTTTTAATTAGAATGTGAGACAATTAACAGTCAAAATTATGTGAAGACATGCGTTGTTTTTGTAATATTGTCTTTTTTCCAATTCTCATTTGGTTATATTCTGTTGTAATGAAATTTATTCCTTCCAGTATTATTATTGTTACATTTGTAAGCAAGATATTTTTGCCTTTTAAAAAATAATTCTTTTTCTCCTTTCCTATATCATGCTTTAATTTTTTAAAATAGATTTTTTAAAAAATATTTTTAGTGTAAAGGTATTTGTAGGCTTTCTCACATACCTTTAAATTAAGCTTTTCCATCTATTCTTGTTTTGATTTTGGGAAAGGTCACTTTAAACTTTTTCTAATTCTGTGTTTTTATAGGATACTTTGGGAGACGGAGTTTCAACCTTCTCTGGTAGTCTTTAGCCACCTTAAATGCACCAAAAGATGAATACACTCTGAATGTAAGTCATCTTTTATACTATTCCATACAACTCTTTTAAAATTAAAATTTTTAGATACCACTACTTAATTTCACCCAAGAAGAAAGTGACTTATTTTAGACTGTGATAGACCACACTATAGTTTATGAAAAACTTTAAGCTGCTTATCCAGGCTTGTAGAATTCTAGTTTTGTTGACATTCAGCAAATACTTTTGATACCATAGCATAATTTATTTGAGGTGTAATGACATTATGTTCTGATGATTGATGCAGTAATAAAAATTAACTTGAAGTTTTTTATTGTATTACCAATAACCTCAAATGACAGATCACTGGAATTATTAGTGATTTGAAAAATTAATTTATGTTAGACATATGGCCATAGGCGGAAAATATTATCATCTAAAAGGGGGTTTTGATTTATATATTACGAATAATATGATACTATCATCGGATTCCACATCAAATAATAATCTCTAAAGACTGATGGTTTTGAGACCATAATGTGTGTGCTTGTGTGTATGTACTTTGAGACAATCTGTGTTGGATCTCACACTTGGTATATAGAGCGAGATGACCTCTTTCTGATTCAGCCTCCTGAATATTGGAATCACCATAGCTGGATACAGCTTGACTGATCTGTTTTAATTCTTGTATGTCACTGGAAACAAACTGATTTCTCCTCAAGTAAATGTGATTTGAAATTTCAAGGAAGCACTACAGTTAATATACTATCTGTGTCGTTTATAATTTAAAGGAATAGTTCTCTCACTCAACTATGTTGTCTTTTCGAAGTTATAAAACCTGGTTAACTGTATAACATCTTAATATCTACTATTCTGCATGCTGATTTAACCCTTTTGATCTCATTAGCATTCAAATGCTTCATCTTTAAATTCTCACACTCTAGGATCCAAACCTTTCATTTCATATATTGTGCTTAATATCTACTTAATATCCCACAATGCTTTTGATGTCCTGTGGTGCACTATTTCTTACCTAGTCTCATGGTCTTTCTTCTGGTTCAGACTTCATTTGACTCCTAATACAAACTGGGATTTTAAATGGGCTTCTTTTGTAATGTCCTTGTTGTTGAGGATCACTTGCCTGATTGTCATTTAATTCTTTGCATACCATTTTCCGCCTGTTAACCCTAGAGCAATTCTGTCCTACATGTGGACTCCACATATTTAATCTGACTGTGTACATCTTTTCTTTTTTGCATTTCAGCATACCTTCTCTACACTTCTACTTTTTCAAGACTCCTAATTGACCTTTACAACCTCTTTTTGCCACTCTGCTACTTCTGCTTCAGTCAAACATATTTGATCACCGCTTAAACACTTCTGCTCAAACTGACTCGATCATCACTTTGACTCAATCTCTGTCTTCCATATCAATGCTCTCCTTTTTATTATGGACTCAGCCTGTTTTAGGCCACTCATCATCTCTACCAATGTGTTAGTGAAATGTTATTTTCTTTATAGAGTCTCATCTGGATTCCACACTCAAAAATATTTACATTTCTAAAATACTTTGTATCTTTTGAAAAGCATTTCTACTATTGAACTTCTGAATTTTAAATGTACTTACTCTAATTTCATTATACTTCAGCACAGCTATGAGCCTCTTGAAGAGACTGATTCAGAAGTGGTTATCAAATAGTTTTGACTAAATCAGAAGTGTAGTAGAGTAGCAAATGAGATATGAAAATCAATTAGGAGTTTTGAAAAAGTAGAAGTTTTCCTGGAATGTAGAACTGCTAATCTAGTTTGTTTTGATATCTTCAGCACCTAATTTTTTTCATTTTTTATTAAAATTTTAACTTTTATTACATACCAATCCTAGTTCTCCCTCTCTACCCTTCTGCCACTCCCCCTTTTCCTCCTTCTCCCCAGCCACCATCCACTCCTCAGAAGGGGTTGTACCTTCCTTGAGAATTCAACAAAGTCTAGCATACCAACTTGAGGCAGAAGCAATCACCCCCACCCCTACAAAGGCTGAGCAAGGTATCTTGCCGTAGGGAATGGGTTCCCAAAAGCTAGTCATGCACCTGGGATAAATTCCGGTCCCATTGCTAGTGGCCCCATAACTGTCACCCACATTTAGAGGGCCTAGTTCGGTTTCATGCAGATTCCCCAGTTTTTAGATGATATTCTGTGAGTTCCCACTAGCTCAGGTCACTTGTCTCTTGTGGTGACTATTTCTTTCATTGATCTCCCTCTCTTCTTCTCCCCCAACTTGGTCTTCTTGATTCCTCATGTTTCCATCCCTATCCCATCCCTTCTACCTCCTCCCAGTTTACCCAGGAGATCTTAACTATTTTTCTTGCCGGGGCCCTCCATGTATGTCCCACTTAGGTTTCTTTATCTAACTCCTCTGAGATTGTGGATTTACACTTATGAATGAGTACATAACACATTTGCCTTTCTGGGTCTGTTACCTCACTCAGGATGGTTTTTTTTTCTAGTTCCATTCATTTCCCTGAAAATTTCAAGATATCATTGAATAATACTCTATTGTGTAAATGTACCATCCTTCGGTTGATAAACATTTAGGTTGTTCCCAGGGTCTGGCTATTACAAATAATGTGCAGTACCTAATTTAAGGTTTAACATGTGCTGATATTCAGAAAAAGGTAAAATAAAAAAATGTTGATTATTTTGAAGGCAGTGCATTAATAGAGTTAACAAATGATGACATGGATGAGAAGATTTATGCAGAGTATGGATATATTCCACTATGTTGAGTATAGCATATATATGGATGATTTTTCAAGTTTTTAAGTGTGTGTATACACATTTGTGTGTGAATGTGGGCATGTGCATGCACAGGACATGTGAAGGTCAGAGAACAACTTCTGGTGTTGGTTCTTTTCTACCTTTCTTGAGATAAAGTTTTTGCTGTATATACCAAACTGGGAGTCTGCCAGTTTCTGGGGGAACCTCTTATCTCCATCTCTCATCTTCCCATAGGAGCAGTGGGGTTATAGATGCTTATGTCATACATCTAGCATTTACATGGAGGTTTTGAATTTAGGTCTTCATACTTTTGCAGCTGTAGTGATAAGAGCAGTGGGGCTGTGTCACTGGCACCCAGCAGCCCGCATGGCTAGTTTATGCCCGAAATAATTACACGGAAATTGTATTCTTTTAGACACTGCCTGGCCCGGCTAATTCCAGTTTTTTATTGGCTAGCTCTTACATATTGATCTAACCCATTTCTAATATTCTGTGTAGCTCCATGAGCTGGCTTACCAGGAAAGATCTTAACCTACATCTGTCTGGAGTGGGAGAATCATGGTGACTCACTGACTCAGCTTCTTTTTCCCAGCTTTCTCTTCTGTTTACTCCACCCACCTAAGTTCTAACCAATAAAATGGGCCAAGGCAGTTTCTTTATTATAATTAACCAATGTCCTTCCTCCATCATGCAGCAATTTGCTTTTGTGCAATAAGCTCACATATAGATATATGTTGATGAATGCACAAAACGTCCAACAAAATGATAGTCGTATTTGAAGTATGATGTGGTGGCCCATGCCTGTAATCTTAGCATTTAAGACTTAGGAGAATTGCAAGCCTTGGTGACTAAAGGCTGTAATTAATCCAAGCTACTCAGTAAACTGAACAGTAGGGTCCCAAGTTCAAAGCCATCCTGTGTTTACAGAGAAAAACTGGGCTATAGAATGAAGCTATGTCCTAATTTAGTTAGGTTTCTTTACACAAGTGCTAGAATCCAAACTCTGATCCTCATGATTACAGAGTAACACTGAGTCATCTCTAGCCCAAATGTTTATTTTAGATAAATGCAAATGTCAAAAAGAAGATAAAACTAAATTGACAGTACAATATCACCTCTACAAGGGATGGCTTAGTATTCACTCTCCACAAATGATGAAACAGAATAAGAGAAGTTACATTTTCACGAGTTACACATAAATGCCAGTCTTCGGAGACAAGTCTCTGTGATCCATCATGTGTGTACCATCTGTGACAACACAATCCTTTCCAATGTTATTGCTTGTTGAAGAAAAACTCTTTTACTACTTCGTAAAGCATTTTTTTAGCGTTCTTTTTATTCTATAAATAGTACATGTATTCTTTTTTTTGGGGGGGTGTTACGAATCGAGCTTTTCTTCAGTACCATTAATTAGTGCATGCCAGTAAACTTATGAAAAGATCTATGTTCAGCTTTATAGAAAACACGTCTCACACAGTGAACCTTTGAGTCCAGCTCTACAGAGATAAGAGGGAGGGCATTTATTTCCAAAGCTGAGTACATGTATTCTTGTAAAAACTATTGACCACTTGCCTTACTTCTGTGCCTCAAGAAAGAATTGTTAAATTTTAATGTCTCAAGCCTTTCCATCTCACCTTCTCTACCATTAATAAGATAAAACAATGCTTAGATTTCTTTACTGTACTTGTTTCATGTTCCGTCGATTGCGTTGGGTGGGTTACTCAGTCTAGGGGTTTGTAACCCACCCTGCAATCAGTTATTCCAGGGTCTCGGAGGGGCGCTACCTGGAAGGGAATGAGCTAAGACAGAAGAAGGAGGCCAAGCAGATTTGTCAAAGCCTCCTTTTATTAGGGACGGGTTACAGTTTATATATGGTAAGGAATGGGGGGCAGGGCAACTGGATCTCGCTGCATGTTCCAGGTCACGTAGGCCAGGAGGTAGGCCAAGAAGTCACAAGTTGCCACACCTGGTTCCCTGGATAGCTGGAATGTGAGGCTGGTTCTGCTAACAGATTAGCAGTTAATTGGGTGTGAGGCAGGTTCTCAATAGAACATAATTATGGGTGTGAGGTTCCCTGCAGACTCCCCAGGGTGATGGTTTCTGTAATGATTTTTAGAGGGGAAATGGCTCCTGACAATGTTCCACACTAAAAAAAAAAAAAACATTTATTATTTACCTTAAAAAGTAAATTTAGGGCTGGAGAGATGGCTCAGAGGTTAAGGACACTGACTGTTCTTCCTGAGGTCCTGAGTTCAATTCCCAGCAACCACATGGTGGCT